ATATATATATATATATAAGTATGTTCAAATGAGAAAAGATTACAATGAAAGAAATGAGAATTATTTTAGACCATTAGATGCGCTCTTTCAACGTCCAGGATTTTACCAAATAATTGAAATTTCGTGCTGGCGTTTTAGTAATTATGATAAACAACAAGGAGAATTTTAATAAGCTAAGGGCACATGCGTCCTTTCTCAGGCAAGCTAGGGTAATTGAATGCTCATAATTTTCGGACACAATTTCTGTGCATTGAAGGCGCGTCTATCAGTTGAGCTGCGGATCCCTTGGGCGATTTCATATTTGTGGTAAGAAAAAAAAAATCGAAAAATTTTTTTCTAGTGAGGAATGCGTTAGTCTTACCTGATATTTCAGTATCTTTTGTTCATTTTTCAGATTTTCTAGTTGATGTTAAAGAAATGTAATTTCGAGATCCGTTCTGCTGTTCACTTCGAAGTAGAATCTCAATGGGAAATTCCCCTAAATAGAAGAAATTAGGTAATACGTCGTGCTTTTGTTGATTATCCACAATCGTTGTTTGCAGTTTTGTCTTCAGTTCTTTTTTTTTTTTTTTAGGTTTGCTAGGTTTACAAATTCACTGTAAAATTGACAGAGATCTTATATTATTGTTCATTCATGATTTAAGTAGCGTTTTATTTGTCATGGCATCTTAATTGTGCGAAATGTTTTTGTGCAAGTGCAGTGGAACTTGTACTCCATATGTGGATTTTTTTTTTCAGATACCTTATGCATTATGTGTTTGAATATTGTTTGTTCATTCTCAGTTGTCTATATAATGCATTGACCTAGGAATATCGTGCATTGATTTCATGTCATATTTTTCTTGTTATGTTTACGTGGCTGTCCTTATACAGACAAACGTGATAAAGAGGCTAGCGTGCCCGACAGACCTCGCATTGCTTGGAAATGTATGTGTTTTGGTGTTAAATTATTATCATATTTATGATAATTTGCATATAAGTCGTGATTTTGATTTTTTGTTTTTGTTTTGTTTTTTGTTTTTTGTTTTTGTTTGTTTTTT